GAGGCCTCGCAGGAGGCCCGGCAGCCGCGTCGACGCGGGGAGCCGTCTTGGTCCGCGAGCGGGGTTCCGGGGCTGGCGCCTTCCTGTCGCAGCCTTGTGAGGGACTAGGGGGAGCCCCCCGCCCCGTCTCGAGACACCCTCAGCCCCGCGTTCCTCTCTCCTCGCCTTTTGTGAGAAAGGTGTGTCTCTTTGCTAACTTGTTTCTAGCTCCTGGTCGTGATTGCGTCCGTCGGCTTCCTCAGCATTTCTGCAGGTCTGTGTGGTTGAGGGGAAGGTTTTCGCGTTCGTTAACTCACGTGGTCTCCACAATAGTCTTTCAGGAGTAGGCATTATATGGTTTCTCCTTTACAGGTGAAGGGATTGGTGCCCAGAGAGGTTGAGTGAACTCTCCAGTGCCACACACTCAGGCACCCTGCCCTCCTGGACCCTCTGACTCGTACCCCCTGCCCTCTTTAACGAGGCTTACGTTACAGCGTTATTCGTTGTGAAGCGCATACTTCTCGTTTCTACAACAGCAGAGTGGTAATCTGCTCAGCAAACCACAGTTTGGCCAGTATCTGATCTCTGATCACCTGGACAGATCATGAGGCTGCAGAGAGTTTGACTTGGGAGTTACTGCACCTTCCCTCTCCCTGGACCACTCGTTTTTGTTTTTGTTTTTAATGGGAGGCTTATTGACTCAGAATAACAGCAGCTGGCACTTTTTCAGCACGCACTTTCACGAGGCTCCTGGTAAGGCCTCAACACAGCCAGCCTGGGTTTAATCCTCCCGGTGGCTCTCCACTCCAGTGTGGACTCCTGGTGTCTACCCCTCAGCTCTCCAGAGACCTTTGTGAACTCCTGGTAGTTGTTTTACTTCCACCGACGCTTATAATGTGGCAGCTTGTGTGCCAGCTGAATCAAGTGACAAAAGGTGGCAGCTAGACTGCCTGCAGGCTTGTTCCCTGCCAGGTGAGGGCACACAGGTTCCAGCACAGCTACCCATTACCACACATCACAGCTTTCAATTCTTTGGTGATAGTTGGAATTGCGGGTGCTTTGGGTCTCCTGAATTTGAAAAGAGGGGGAATAGTCTTTCTGATGTTTTCTTTCCCTTTAATTCCCTCAAAATCTGGAGGCCAAGCAGGAGAGCCTCCATCCATCCCACAGCGTTTCTGGCACGGCCAGCAGGGCAGCCAGCTGCGTGAAGGGCTGTGGCTTTCCTACAGAAATGGCTTGCTGGCCCTTTGGTAGAGATGGGGATGGTGAGCCAGACAGGATGGGTGTGTCTGAGCTGGGGCTGCGAGTGGGTCCCTGTTTACCACGTGTTCTGACCACTGGGTCCCTGGCAGGGAACGGAGGTGGCTGGTCATCCTGAGTTGTGGCCTCTTGGCGTTTGCTCAGAGGTGTTTGCTCTGGAAGGCTCCTTCAGAGGCTGCCTAGGTTCTTCCTTCTGCCTTGGCAAGAAGGCCCTTGTTGCTACTGGCAGCGGCTGGTTTCCGATGATCCAGGAGGGCATGTGGTGCAGCCTGCATGATCTGAACTCTGTTGCTGGGCAGAGGGGTGTCAACAGGGGTGGAGGTGCACACGGCGCCTCGCTGGTGTTTTCATGGCCTCACCTCTCCTAGCAGCCCTGAGGCAGGCCCTGCCGCTGCCCGCCCTTCAGGTGGAGGACCTGTCCCCAGGTCACAGCTCATCAAGGAGAAGCCAGTTGTATGTTTGTGTTTGTGAGCTTGTGCGTGTGAAACATGTCATCAGAATGAGAATTTCCCTCGCAGTCAGACCCCAGGATTCCTGTCGGCTCTGTGACCCCTCAGTAGCTTTGAGGGTGGCGTTTCCTGTGTGTTGAAGTGTTACTTGTAGGTTCGTGTGCGTGAGCATTTCCCTCTCTGTGTTTGTCTGCAGCAGGGAGTATGTACGCCCTTTGCTCTTGTCCTTTATGTGCACCCACTGAGGGTAGGGTAGATACTAGAGCAGGTGATGTTGTGGGGCCCCCTTGTGGGAGCGGTCACAGCTACGCCGGAGAGTCATAACGTTTACTTATTTGAAAGCTGTGGCCACTGCTAGGCCTCGTCTCAGTGCGCCCCACAGAGAGGTGTTAGCAGAGTCAGCATCTCTAGTGGGTGTCATGTGGAGGTACCGGGACAGCCTTGTCACCAGCAAGTCTGGTCACCTCTCCATGGGACCAGCAGATGGCCGGCATGCTGTGTGATATTTCCAGATGCGAGGTGGTGGGGCCGGCTGGGGCCCTGTGCTGGGAGCGTGTCTGTGCCCTTCGACCTGTGGAGTCCTCTGTGGGATGAGGAAGTCCAGTGTCAGTCTAGCCATTCAGAGTGACGCAGGCCCCGTGCCCTCTGATAAGAGGTGCTGGCACTCCAGGAGTGCCTTGTCAGCAGGCCTGACAGTGTGCCAGCCACCAGCCTGGACCCTGTGGCCAGCGGCCCTTGGGACACACCTGGCTGCCCTGCAGAGTGCACCTGCTGTCCGTGGTGGGGAGGACAACTGTGCTCCGCTTTCTGCATTCACCCGTCTTCTCGGTGGCCCCTGATCCTGAGCTGCAGGGAGCCCTGGGGCTCCGTTGCGTCCGGGCTCTGGGGAGTGGGTTTGGATTTCTCAAAGTACAGAACAGATGGGGAGTAGGATGTGGGCCGTGCGCCTTCGACAGAACAGTGTCCAGTGTCCTGCCGCTGTGTACTCACCCGCACCATCAGGCCCAGGTCTCTGTGTCTGCACCGTCCTGGAGGCCTGAGCCAGCTGCGCCAGGATAGCAGGGCACCAGAGCGAGGGAGCAGAGCAGTAACAGTGAGGTCTTCTCCATCCCAGTAGCCAGGGGCTCGGTGGCCTTGGCCTGACCCATGTTCCTGGCTCTTGCTGTGCTGCCCTGTGCACTGAAGTCCTCCCTGCTGACCATGGACCTGGTCTTCAGGGGGAGCACATGCTGCTGGGGATCTGCGCTCTGCCTCACTGGGTATCTGGTGACCCCTGTGAGCGGTGGTTCCTCTGAGGACCACTTGTGAAATGAGGGGTTGTGTGTGATGAGAAAGGAACCGTGTCTGCTGATTGGTCCTTATTTGGGGACCAGAGTTTGAGGCCCTGGCGTGGTGAGCGTGGAGTTGAGGGATGGGAGGAAGGTTGTTTGGAGCTACGTCTGTGAGGCCGTCTCTGAATCTCCGTGTTACCTCACAGGGGCCTTGGCAGAGTGGAGTGGTGCCGAGAGGGGTCCTGCATCCCGCTTCTCAGCCTTGGGCTTCACAGGGACTCTGGGTGCCCAGCATGGGTTTGGCTGAGTCTCACTGCTGGGTGGTGGCCAAGTGAGCAGAGGCGGGGCCTGGCCCCCTTTGGCTGAAAGCGGCACGTGTAGCTGTGAGGGAGGACCCCACTCGGCCTCTGGGCTCCTTGGTGACCCTTGTTCGAAAAATTCTTCTGTGATTCCACTCATGATGCTTTGTCCATTTTGTTAATGGCTGAAATGGGTTTGTGGTGCGTCTTGAGGTGCCACAGGTGCTGCTCAGACACAGAAACGTCTCTAGTCACGGCCAGAGTCAGATTTGTCATGAGTTAGGGGTCTAGCCAGATTCCTTCCTGCTGTGAACATAGCTTTATAAGCAGAAATCAGCGTCTTTGTGTTTACGTGCAGCCATACGGTACGCGGCACATCCCGTTGGCTTTGTCTCTTCGCTCTACAGAAGTGGACAGAATGCCACCAGGGACCTGACTCGTAGGGAGCCTTGCAGCCTGGGGACAGGTGGGAAATTCCTGTGGTCTGGTTTTCTTCCAGAGCTAAGCTCCGATGCCCAGCAATGGACGACGACAGCCTGGACGAGCTCGCGGAGCGGAGCACAGGGCTGGGTGGACGCCTGCGACCCAGCCCTCCTGCCCTGGCCAGCGATGCTGGTGAGCTGGCTTCGGCCCTCCCACCCAGCATGGGGTGGGGACTGCAGCGCGCACATCCTGGGGTGGCAGTGTGACCTCCTCTTTTCTCCAGGGGGTGGCGCTTGGTCTTGGCTTGGGAGATGCTGAGTTTCCTTGTAGGGGTGTCTCTGCATCTAGATTTTCAAGTTTCAGTCTTTAAAATGTTTATTCTTTGATTTTAACTTGTAGAAATAGTGCGTCCTCTGTTTTATTTTTAATGCGAGCAGTGCAGTGCGAACAGAGTAGAAAGACACATTTCCCGACTCCTTCCCTACTTGGTCCAGTCTTGCTGTGCCCAGGCAGCGCAGGGGCCTCAGCGCCTGGCTAGGCGCTTGCAAACAGCCCGCAGCTTCTGCTGACGCTGCCCTGGGCCTGTGTTCTCACCCCTGTTGGTCTAGAAGAAACCAGTGATGGGAGCAGTGGGGACTCTGAAGATGACACAGGCAGTGAGCAGAGGGATGGCACAGACGAGGACGAGGAGGGGGCGTCTGAAGACGACCTGGAAGACAGATCCGGTAAGGGAGCGGATGTTCTTGGGGAAATTGAGGACTGGCTGGAGGTGTGAAGAGTGGGGGGACCCTTTGTGCCCTGGCCCCGCTCCAAGGGGCCCCCCATCCCTAGAGGGACACGCAGCAGGGACGGCCGGCCCCCTTTTATTGTAGCCCCTGTTTCAGAGTTGGGTTCGATGACATAGGTCAGCAGGTGTCTTCCCAGTGAGGGCTGGACGTCAGCGCATCTAGGGCAGTTGAACAGCGCGGGCAGCAGCTCCTCGGAGGGGCAGGTGGTGACCTGGCGGCCAGGTCTCCGCGTGCTGACCCTCATGTTCTGTTGTGGTGGGACTTGTGCCTTTGCTTTTAGTTTTCCCCCTCCTTCATCGTGCCTCGGCATCTGGGTGGGCCCCGGGGGCCAGGCCTTCAGTCCTGGGTTTTTCTCGCTGTTTGGCAGCTCCTCTTTTTCCCCTTTGTGGAGCCCCTGTTCCTCAGCCGCTGTTCTGGGGGTGGCCCTGGGGGGACACGGGCCTCGTGGTTCAGAGTAGCGGCACCTCTAGTCTGTTTGCAGTCCTCATGTCTCTCCCTTTCTGGAAAGTGACCCTGCAGACTTCTGCTGGGCAGGGAGGGGCAGGGGTCTGGCCCAGGACTCTGAGGGCCTCACTTCCCTGTCTCTCGGCCAGTCCCCCTCTTCAGTCCCATGCCACAGTCCTGAGCCTACCGGAAACCCACAGTGAGGATCAGGTCATCTGGTTTCCACCTGCTCCTGAGTCTTGGGGATGCCTCTTTATTAGTTGTCTCTTGCTGTGGGACAATCACCGCAAACTTAGCGGCTTAGAACAACACGCTGGCCGTCTCCCAGTGCCCACGGGCCAAGAGTCTCGTGCCGGCCGGCCGGGCCCTCTATTCAGGTCTCACCGGGCTGTGGCCCAGGCGTCAGCCGGACTGTGTCCCCGTCTGGGCTCAGGGGCTCCAGGTCCAGGGTGTGGGGTCAAGGAGCTGAGACTGCTGAGCACGTCTCTCCGCTGGCAGCTGCTGCGGCCAGGGTGCCAGGCGGGGGTGCTGGCAGCAGTCACAGTGGTAGGGCTGCAGGGAGGGGCTTTGCTGGGCACTGCTCCTGCTGGTGAGTGGGGCCGCTGCCTTGGCTCTGTTCGTTGATGGTGGGCGTCCTCTGTACACTTGCCAGGCCCGCACCTCTGGCGTTGGAAGTCAGCCTTCCTGAGAGCACAGCGGTGATTGGGCCACCTGGTCCGCCCCTCACTGAGCAGCCCTCCTTCTGTCTGTCCTCTAAAGCAGCAGTGTTCTGTCCTTTTCAGGTTCTGAGGACTCCGAGGAAGAGGATGTGGAGACCTTGGTGGCTGTGGCCAGTACTCAGAAGAGGAAGCTGGAAGCAGATGGAGCGCTCAGCTCTGATGATGAAGCCGAGAGCTGCCCCATTTGTCTCAATGCGTTTCGAGACCAGGCCATGGGGACCCCAGAGACCTGCACCCACTACTTCTGCCTGGACTGCATCATGGAGTGGTCCAAGGTGAGTGGCCCAGTTGCCTCCCTCAGCACGGCCTCTGCTGCATACAGGTGACCAGACTGTGCCGGCCTCTCTCTGGGTCTGCTTCTCTGCTGGGAGGCCAACGTGGGAGCTGTAGGGTCCTAGAGGGCCCGCCTCATTCGCCTGCTGCTCACTGGGCCGTGGGGAGCACTCTGTGGGGTGCTGTCTGTCTGACTTTCTGCCCTCTGTCCACTGGGCTGTGGGGCACACTCTGTGGGGTGCTGTCTGTCTGACTGCTCACTGGGCCATGGGGAGTACTCTGGGGTGCTGTCTGTCTGACTATGCCCTCTGCTCTCTGGGCTGTGGGGAGCACTCTGTGGGGTTCTGTCTGTCTTACTGTCTTTCCTCTGCTCACTGGGCCATGGGGAGCCCTCTGTGGGGTCCTGTCTGTCTGACTGTCTGCCCTCTGCTCTCTGGGCTGTGGGGAGCCCTCTGTGGGGTGCTGTCTGTCTGACTGCCCTCTGCTCACTGGGCTGTGGGGCGCACTCTGTGGGGTGCTGTCTGTGTGACTGCTC